TTACTGGATTTACTATATATATATATATATATATATATATATATATATATATATATATAATACAGACGGATGCTCTGAGAATTCCATAGATACAAAAAGTTTCCAATGGTGAGGCAATTCGGCGCATGAGTAAACAAAAAGAATTTTTCAGCATAATTAAAGAGAGAAAGAAGAAAATTACAAGCTTGCACATCCTGGAATCCATACAAAGCAAAGTGTATGTCTATACTTTGACCCTAGCATACATTTTTTTCTTCATGGAAAATGTGCTTAATTTTTTTTTCAGCACGTCAGGTTTTCAGAGAAGCTGACTGTGTATGAATTTTTTCATAGAAACTGCCCAACATACTGAGAAAATATTTATTCAAACTATATTTAATAGAAAATTAAACTGCAAAATTGAGTTGTTCATAAAAAATGCAGTATAATCTACGTTAGACAATCGTTGGTTGTTTTTGCTGGTTGTACGCTGAAAACAGCGTACTTTTCTTTTTGTCATTTTTTGTAAGCGAGTCCCACTTCAAGGTCTAACAGTAATTAGCCATCATTCTAATATCCGATCTTCCTTTGTAACGTCTCTCCATCTCCTTTAAGTCTTGATGGAAGATCCCTCTTTGTTCCTCGCTGATATCTCCAAGATTTTCGGAAAAATAATGAACGTGGTAATCCAGAAAATGAAGTTTAACGTTTTTATAATTTTCTACCATGTTGGCTACAATTTCTTTGTAGTTTGGAGAATTATTGTTGCCAAGAAATCCGTCTATGATTTCTACCAAAGAACTCCATTCTTCAGATTTATACTGGGCCATTGTATTCTGGAACGATCTTTCCGATTTAAGGTTCAAATTTGAAGGTCTAAAAAATTACTTCTTTAAGTTTAACTTCAGAAAGTACAGGGAATTTATCGCACAGGTACCTATATAAAGCAGTTACTCTGTTAATTTGAAGCTTTGAGAAACTGCTTCATCAATTCTAACTTTATGTAAAGGAGAGGCAAAAGTACTAATTTTGGGTCAACTATTTTATCACGATGTACATTTTTTGTCTCGATACAAGTCTTTGTCTGAGTGGCCATTCTTTCTTAACGTAATGTATATCATGCTCGACTGTCCCACTCTAATAAAAAACATGGATAGTTTGTAAAGCCAGACTGTTGACTTAAAAGCATGGATATTATTTTGAGGTCTTCACAGAGTTGCCAACAATATTCGCTATACTTTAATTCTTTATTTAGCAACAGCTTCAGATCCTCATACGTTTTTTTGAGATGCACGGAGTGAGCAACGGCCACCAAGGCATAAATATTACCATACGGTGTAATAAGAAAGTGTTCGGAGTACAGGTACTGATTCAAAGATGCAGGGACGTTAACTGCGACGTATACGCGTGCTTGATCGACTTGTAAACGCTTGTAAACATAATACAAATATACGCTCCCACTGCAGATAAAGACGACAACGAAGTAGAGACTCTCTACCAAATCATAGAGGATATATTAGAACGAATACCTAAACATGAAGTCAGCATCATAATGGGGGATTTCAATGCAAAACTTGGGGCCGAACGGAAAACGTCTCTAATCGGACCTTTTGGGTTAGGACAAAGAAACGAAAAAGGTGACAGACTAGAAATATTCGCAGAAGATAACAAGCTAGTGGTTCTGAACACATTTTATAAACTACCACCGAGGAGATTGTATACATGTAAGGCACCAGCAGATAAACCCCATAACGTAATTAGAAACCAGATAGATTATATATTGGTAAATAGAAGATTCAGAAATAGTTTTAAATCTGTCAAAACATATCCAGGAGCAGACATTGAATCTGACCACATACCTTTAGTGGGAGTCATGGATGTGAGACTGAAGACAATAAAGAAAAAGTCTAGACCTAACTACGACATGACAGCCCTGCAACATCCGGAAGTTAAAAAGCAAGTGGGGGAATATATTAACAACCAAGTTAAACAACTAAAAGAAGAAAATAACATCCAACGAGAAATCAATCAATTCGAAGAAATAATTAAGAAAACTAAATAAGATCTGCTAAAACCAAACAAAGAAACAAAGAAGAAATCTTGGATGACTCCAGAAATCCTTCATTTAATGGAACGCAGATGGTTAATTAAAGGAAATAAAGATGAGTATAAAAAACTGCAGGCTTACATCAGAAGAAAAATAAGAGAAGCTAAAGAAAAAGAAGCTGTAGAGAAATGTACAGAAATAGAAAGACTACAAGCCAAGCATGAAAATTTTAATGTACACAACAAGGTAAAAGAAATAACGGGTACTTTTAAAAAGCGAACACAAATGAAACTCATAGACACCAATGGAAAATTAATCATTGACACCCAAGAGATGAAAGAGAAATGGAGAATATATTTGGAGACACTTTTTCAAGATCAAAGAACGGATTATAGGCATCCATTTTCAGAGAGGATGACTGGCCCGGACATACTTAAATCCGAGGTAGAAGAAGCAATAAAACGGATGAAAAGCAGAAAAGCTGTAGGGCCTGATAATATCGAAGCTGAATTTTTAAAACTCTTGGAGGAAGAAGGGATAATTTGGATCATGGCTGTCTTCAATAAAATATACAATACAGGAATCATCCCTGATAAATGGCTAGAATCAGAATTCATAGCGATACCTAAAAAACAGGGGACTAAAAAGTGCGAAGAATATCGAACAATCAGCCTAAAGGGCCACATGTTGAAACTGTTTCTTAGAGTCATCCATGGAAGAATTTATAAGAAGTGCGAGGAACAAATATCGGACAGACAGTTCGGCTTCATTAACGCAGTGGGTACCAGAGAGGCACTTTTCGGAGTACAGGTACTGATTCAAAGATGCAGGGACGTTAATTGCGACGTATACACGTGCTTGATCGACTATGAAAAGGCATTTGACAGAGTTCAACATCAAAAGATGATAAACATTTTAAAAGAGGCAGGCCTGGATGACAAAGACCTCAGAATAATTTCAGAACTCTACCGGAATCAGACCGCATACATGAAAATTAAAGGAGAAGAAACAGATCACATAAAAATACTACGTGGAGTTAGACAGGGATGTATCCTATCGCCGTTGATATTTAATATGTACTCAGAGAAAATTTTTAACGACGCTCTTTATGGAATAGACGAAGGCATCCTTCTAAATGGTGAAAGAGTAAGCAATGTTAGATATGCCGACGACACCATGGTGATAGCAGATAGTTTAGACGAACTTCAGAGGCTAATGGACGGAATAAACGAGTACAGTCAACAGTATGGACTAAACATTAATACCCACAAAACGAAACAAATGATTATCAGCAAGGAGAATATAAACGGGGCTCATCTATACATTAATGGGACGTAGATAGAGCGAGTAAAACAGTATTGTTACCTGGGAACTATTATTAACGAACAGTGAAGCAATTTACAGGAAATAAAGTGCCGCATAGGAAAGGCAAGAACGGTCTTTAACAAAATGAGCGCCATCTTCAAAAGTCACAACATATCCCTTGATACAAAAATGAGACATTTTAGATGCTATGTTTTCTCTGTGTTGTGGTACGGGGCGAAGGCATGGACGCTTACAGACACCACTATTAAAAAACTTGAAGCATTTGAGATGTGGCTTTATAGAAGAATGCTGAGAATATCATGGACAGCAAGGATCACGAACAAGGAAGTTCTAGGAAAAATGAAGAAGGAACCAGAGATTGTGTTTACGATCAAAAGCATAAAATTCTAATATCTGGGACACGTTATGAGAAATCAGCACCGTTACTCCCTGCTACAGTCTATATTGCAAGGTAAAGTCAAAGGTAAGCGAGGACCCGGTAGAAGGAGAATATCATGGCTGCGGAATTTAAGAACATGGTTTAAGAAAACCTCAACGGAGCTGTTTCGAGCCGCACCGAGCAAGGTTATGATTGCCAATATGATTTCCAACATCCGAAACGGATAGGAACCAGAAGAAGAAGAACCACGAGCTGGACGAATTCATATAGAGCGCAGAAATTGTTAGATTTATAAATTCTTAAAGAGTAAGCTAACCTCATGACCTTAAAACCATAAATATCAGGCAGTAGAGAAGAAAAGTAAACGAGAGGGCAGAATGGAAGAACATTGTTTAGCAGGCCAAAACTCACCAGTAGAAGAAGAAAAAGAATTAATAACCTGACAAACAATTGCCAATCTTTATTCTGATCAAAAAGCAACAATACAATATGAAGAAAAGTCACCAAAAGAAATCAGCATTGAGCCAGAGAAAGTTGTATCCTGTCCCCAATACTATTTAACAGATTGAAAGAGTTAAAAAAAAGTTGCTCCTTTTTGAACAAAAGGGGACTTGTACACTGAATAACTACTGCTGCATTAAGATAGAAGCATTCAAAACATGGATTTATAGAAAAATAGTAAGAACATCCTGGAATGATAAAATAAGAAATTGTAAAGTAACTACTGAAAAGAAGAAAAAAATGGAAATAATTACTAATAATTAACCATCAAAAGTCGTAGACTGCAATATCTTGGACTCATCTATGTTATGAGGAGAGATAAGTATCAATTTTGTAGTATATCATATGGGAAAAAAGTATAAGGAGAAGAAAAATGTCATGGCTGCGAAACTTAACTTTCAAATAAACAAGGCGCCTGAAAAAGAAAAATTATTTATTACTTTTTCATTTTTTTTTTATTTTTTTGTCCATTGTTTATTTTTTGTATTTACATTACTATTATTAATTATCTTATTGTATTCGAACGGACAAATCGTAGATTATTTTATATTTAAAATATCCAATAAAGAGAAGATCTATTTTCTTTAGTCCGTCTCTGAATATATTTGGGACAAATCCATTATTATTACAAAAATAGTGAGAGTGGGAGCGATCCATACGCATTTTAATTAATTAACACTATATGCGTTAATGTCTTACACTATTCCTTCTCCCTCCAATTATTCCTATTTTAAATAGATAAATAGATCTGTAGAACTCAACAAGTTCACAGTGCAGTCCCTGGCAACGGGGCACACGAATCCAAGGGCTCTAGTGCCCTACAGTGCTTACAAGATTTGTTTTAGTGTTTCAACAGTGCAATTTGGATTTTTTCATGTGAGTTTTGATTTTGTGATCTAACGCGTCTAAAGATAGTGATAGGAAACTGTTTTGCTGATCATTTGGTCCAAACTTGATTTTGCAAATTAAAAAAAAATTGTATTTTTTCCGCCCCTTTTATTACAGTTTTCCAGGGAATTTTATCTTAACATTTTCTTCCAACCGTCTTCAAATTTACCAAATTTATTTATCTTCATTATCTTCAGATTTATTTTTTCTTTGTTTTAAATATTTAAGTATGTTATCTTCTTTAAAGAGAGCTGGTAACTTGGGCTTAACCCAGACATTGTCGCCATTTTTGAGTAAGTACTCCCTTACATTGCAGTATGTCCCCTTTTAGTTAAGAATTTTCATGATGGCCTTTTAGAATGTCCACAGCATCTAATCGTTCCTCTTTAATATGTATCAACGATTCCAAACACATTCTTCTGTTGATGTAGATATTCATCTAGTTATCTGTTAATTTTTAAATCACATAATTTGCCCCAATGTGCACTTTGCGTTGCTATTTCCTCTTTGTCTACTAATTTATCAATTACATACCAGCAACAAAATAATTTCATATTTTTATATTATTCTTCCAGATTCAAGTATATATATTACAAAGATACCTCTCCTACTTACTTTATTTTTGATTCATACTTTGAGTTTTTAATTACTTTTTGACCTTTTGCCTTGAATATCAATAAATTGTTTCATTTCTGAGATTTCAGTAGGCTATTTTATTTATTATAAAAATGGCTTGCATGATGCAATTTTTTTCTTTTGTTTTATCAATGTACTCTCAAATTTGTATTTCTTTTAGTAAAGAATACACCACGCGCAGAGTTGCAATGTTTTGTTTTTCTGACAGTGAGACTACACTCTTAAGGTATTCTTGCAATTTCAAGCCCCTCTATGGTCTGAGTTTGATATAATATGTATTTGTAAAATTTTTATTTCTTATTATTTGCCAATTTTGGTACCACTTAGTGTACAGTTTTTGTTTTAGCTTGTATAAAGCTTCTTTTCCAAAAGTATTTCTGGAGATTTATTTTGAAACTTTTTCATTTGTTAGATCAATTTCCATAACTGATTATAAAACTTAGCCAAATATGTATTTAAAAGTAAAGTATGTTCGCATGCACGAATTTTGTCAATAATATGCAAAAAGATTATTTTTGTTAATAATATGCAGAAAAAATTCAACATAACATTCAACAAAACACACTATGCATTTTAAAGTATTTTTATTATATTAAATAAGTAAAATCAAAACTTAAAATAATTGTACTTTTTATACTTCAGATTTCTCATAAAAATAGTAAACAATTATAATTTCCTTTTAAGAAATGGATTTGTTGTTTAAGGATTTTATTTTTAAATTTCGTTGAACAGAAGAAATTGCTATATTGTTTTAAAAAAAATTTAAAAATTAAACTTTTAATGTCTTCAAAACGATCTATAATACGTAAAAAATAGTCTTAGTGGCGTCTTACAAAACCTTTTTTTACACCCGAAGTCGTTGATAAGGGGAAAGTGTGTGCTAATTTCTCCAGCAACCCTATTAATCTTCTTCTTTTTGTGCCACTCCTATCGGAGATTGGAAATCATCAAGGCTATTCTGACCTTGTTTACGGCTGACCTAAAGAGTTCATTAGTGGTGCAGCCAAACCACTCTCTCAAATTCCGCAACCATGACATTCTTCTACGACCTGGATTCCGTTTTCCTTCTATTTTTCCCTGCATTATATTTTGAAGTAATGCGTATTTATGTTCTCTCATCAGGTAACCAAAATATTCGAGTTTTCTTCGCTTTAGCGTTAACAAAATCTCTGGGTCTTTTCCTATTCTTCGTATTACTTCACAGTTTGTTATTCTTTCAACCCAACTAATCTTCAGCATTCGACGGTAGCACCATATCTCGAAACTTTCAATATTTTTCATGTTGTTCTGTTAGAGAGTCCAGGCCTCTACACCGTATAATAGCGTGTTAAATACATAGCCTCTCAGCGTTCTTAATCGTAGAGGGATGCTTATATTTCTGTTGCAGAAGAATTTTCTCATCTTTATGAAGGTGGCCCTGGAAATTTCGATACGTCTTTTTATTTCACTGTTTTGGTCTCCAGTTTCGTTTATTAAAGTTCCCAAGTATTTGTAACTTGATACTTTTTCAACTTGAGTGCCGTTTATACTAATATACGCTGGTTGTGTCATGTTTTTACTGAAGACCATATACTTGGTTTTTTTAATATTGATATTTATACCATAATTGTTGCAAGCAATATTTATGTCTGTAAGTAATCTTTGTAATTCTTCTACTGTTCTTGCAACTAGTACAGTGTCGTCCGCGTATCGAATATTATTTACAATCTCTCCAATAATTACGATTCCTCCGTTTGCTTGTAAAAGGGCTTCCTGACAGATGCTTTCACTATATACATTAAATAACAGAGGTGACAAAATGCAACCCTGTCGTACTCCTCTACGTATTTCTATTGCTTGTGATGTTTCAGTTTCTATTTTGATGTTAGCTTTCTGATTCCAATATACATTGAGAATTATTCGCAGATCTTTATTATCTATGTCCTTCCTTTCAAGAATCTCTCTAAGCTTATCATGGCGTACTCTGTCAAATGCTTTTTCAAAATCGATAAAACACGTATGTACCTCCTGATTAGCGTCTAGGCATCTTTGTGTGAGAACATTCAAACCGAAGAGAGCTTCTCGAGCACCAAGCCCTTTTCTGAACCCCATCTGTGTATTACTAATATCTGACTCCAACTTTTGATAAACTCGGTTGTGGATGATTTTTAGAAATATCTTTAGTAGGTGGCTCATTAAAGATATTGTTCGATGTTCTGAACATCCTTTAGCATTAGATTTCTTTGGCAGTGTAACGAATGTAGACAACAGCCACTCTTGAGGTATAATGCCAGTATTGTATATTGTATTAAATAAGTGCAATATTATACCTATTGATTCATCATTCAAGAGCTTTAGCAATTCGGTAGGAACCTCATCCGGTCCATTTGCCTTCCCAGTTTTGGAATTTTTAAGTGCCATTTCTACTTCACATTTTAGAATTTCAGGTCCCGTTTCGCCATATATCAGAACAATGTTATTTCTGTTGTCCTCAAATAATTCTCTTATGTATTCACTCCATCTATTAATTTTCTCTGTTAAATCTATAATAATCTTTCCATCTTTGTTCTTAAGCAAACTTATTTGACGTCTTCTTTGGGTTCCTGTAATTTCTCTTACTTTTTTATGTATATTGAACGTGTCATACTTTCTTTCAAAGTTTTCCATTTCTACACATTGTTCTGTAATCCATGATTCTTTGGGATTTCTTTGCTTGAATCCAGGATTCTTTGCTTTATGTTCTTATCAGCCTCTTTGTATTTTTCTGCATTATTTTTCATTTTACGTCTTTCATCCATTAGTTCTAGAATGTCTGGTGTCATCCACACCTTATGTTTCTTTGGAGATTTGGTTAGGTGTTTCTTTCCCGTAGTTCTTATTATAGTATTTATATACTTAAGTTTTTCATCTATGTTGTCTGTTCTGCGGATTTGGCTTTCTGCTACACTGAGGCTGGTGTTTATTTCTTCTCGCACTGTTTGTCGTAGATGTTCATTTTTAAGCTGGCTTTAAGCCAGCTTAAAAAAAGCCAGCCGCCCTATTAATACCATGGTCTAAACATGCCAAATAAATTAATTTGGGATAAAATATTTGTAAATTTTTGTACCTTATATATGAAACAGCATCAGACGAAAAAGCTATAGTTTTTCTTTTTAATCATTTTTATTCCTTTTGAACAAAACGTGCAATGGTTAAAGAATTTGTTTTATCTACTTGTTTTGAAGTTACTAAGTGAGATTTTGGTAATTGTCGACCTACTGAATCTGTCGTTTCATCTACGAACATGTTAAATAAAATGTTTCCAATTTCGTATCTAATATTTTCTTTAACGGACATCTACATTGTTTTTTCTTAAAGTTCTGAATGAACTCGACATTCTTCATTAAACACACCCTGTTCATTTAATTGCTTCAGAATTTAGCAACAATTTTTGGACTTTTCCGCCCTGCAACTTTAATTTTTCGTTTTTTGTTTTGTGTGCCACAGTTTTGATGCGTCATTTATTTGAAATTTTTTGTCGGATATGAACTATGTGACAACAACATTTGAAGACGATAGGAATGTCACCATCACACAAAATAAAAATGACGATACCAGACCACCTATTCTCGAAACGAAAGTAGAAGATGCTATAAATAACATTAAGGAGGGAAAAGCCGCAGGACCAGAATTTTTTAAAATTATGGATAAAGACGAAGTAAAAAGACTTAGGTACCTTGATTTTGAGCAATATATACTAAAGTGGAAAAATACCCCAACACTGGCTTAGATCAATTTTTATAACAATCCCAATCTTTCAAAAATGTAGAGACGTGTATTGTGATATATATATATATATATATATATATATATATATATATATATATATATATATATATATATATATATATATATATATATATATATATGTGTGTGTGTTTTATTGATTACCAGAAAGCGTTTGATGGAGTAAAACATGACGAACTGATGAAAATATTAAATTCAATTGATCTAGACAGCAGAGATCGCCGTATAATAAACAATATCTATTACGAACAAACTGCAGCTGTTAGAGTTGGGGATCAGTTAACAGACGACATAAAGATAAAAAGAGGTGTGCGACAGGGATGTATATTGTCCCCATTATTGTTCAATACATATTCAGATCAATAATCATGATATTTGTTGACTACGAAAAAGCTTTCGACACAATAAGTCATCAAAAGATGTTAAAAGCCTTAACAGAGTGCCGTATAGATCATCGCTATATAAAAATGATAAAATACATCTATCAAAATGGGACAGCAAGCGTGAAACTAGCAGATAAAAAGACCAACGTATTTACAAAAAATGCCGATAGAATACCGTGAAAGCTATACAGTCCCGTAGACAAA